CTGCATTTCCCCTCAGTCATCAAGTTTAATCTCTGCAGCCAGCACAGTAACTCTCTTCTCTCCCTGTTGACTTAGATGCATGAGGAGCCCGAAGTGTCTAGGCAGCATTATTTACTTCCAGTTCAAAAAAATTGTTGATGTATCTTTCAGTATCAGCTTTCCTATCTTTGGAGGTAAGACCTCTAACCTGGCAGAGCACAAGAATGTGCAAAGAGTAAGCAAAATTTTCTAGTGGGTCATTACAGATAATAACACACGATGTCACTCTTATTTCTAGGTCTTGATTCCTAAACCTGTGAATCCCAGCTACAGGAAAAACAGCACCATATATTAGGCATTAATTCAAAGCATATACAACCTTCTAGGGAACCTTGGCCCAACTCTGCAAGGTATTGCCAACCAGTTGGCAAAGAAACTAAATTTTAATAGGCCTTTCCATCATTCTATTAAATCGGCTGCCACAGAGTGATGAAGATCATGGTGGGGTCAGAAACTCCATGAGCATGGGCCCATTTATGCTTTTTTTTTTTTTTTTTTTTTTTTTTTCTTCTGTGAAATGAGCTCCTTTGTCAGAAGCAATGCCATTTGGAATATCAGGAAGCATTCTGCAAATTCTGCAAGCGCAAGTATGGTAGTTTTGGCAGAGGTATTGCCTGCAGGGAAGGCAAATCTATATCCAGTGTAAATGCCTATTTAGTATTTACTAAGGACAAAACATTATCTCTTCCAAAATGGAAGTCAACCAATGTAATTATCCTGCCCTGATGTAGCTGACTGATCATTTGGGGGATGGTGTCATATTGAAGGCTCAGTTTCGGTTTCTATGGCTGAGAGCTTCAGCATTCAGCAGTGGCTGTAGTGAGATTGGCTTTGGTGAATGGAAGTTCATATTCCTAATCCCAAGCATAACTTCCATCCCAGCCATCATAGCCACTTCATTCATAAGCTCACCAGCTGATGACAGAAGTGACTGGGCAAAGAGGCTGGCTGGTATTCATAGAACAGGCTATCCTGTCCACTTCATTATTAAACTGCTGGTATGTTGAGGTTATCACTTGGTGAAAATGAGCACGGGTGTTCACATTTTTGCCCATTCAGATTGATCTGTCCACATACCACTTCCCCAAATTTCCTCATCACCAATTTTTCAACCATGCTCTTCCCAAGGTCCTAGTCATAGAACCATACCATTAGTCACAGCCTGTGAATTGGTACACAATTGCACAGGTGGCCATTACTCCTTCCAAGCAAAGTGAAAAACCAGGAGCATTGCTCAAATTCTGCCACTAGCAAGGTTTCCCTTCATCATTTCTATTCACAAATGTTATAGAAAGGGGCTATATGCTATGGCTGTCCACATTCAGTTGGTACCTGCATATTTTGCAGCACCATCTGCAAAACAGGCCTGAACCTTCTTTTATTTAGTAAAACTGATCACAGGGAATTATCTATGAGGCCACAGAGGAAGTCTGAGAGAGAGAAGTCTGAGAGAGAAGGAGTGGGGACAGTGGAAATTTGTGCTACTTCTTCACGTAACTTATTTGTGCCTTCAAGGCCTACTGAGGCCATGTCACCTATATACAACATCCATTTGATGATGGAACTCTGTAGTGCATGTCCAACTTTATGACTTGGTAAGTCAGGTAATAGTACACTCACTCAGATCACATGGTAAATTGGTAGACAATAGTTAAATGTTCAGAGTTTATGGCTCAGTAGCAGACCAAGACTGCCTCTCAAAGAGAACGCAGTTACCTGCTGACAATAGCACATTTTTTTTTTGTTTTTTTTTTGTTTTTTTTGTTTTTTTTTCCCAGAACTCTATCTATGAGAGGGTCCTATCTTCAAAGGATTGGATGAGACACACACATATTGAGAAGGTCAATCTGTTGTATTTAGACTACTGATTCAAATACTAATTTCATCCAAAAACATCCTCACAAATACACCCAGAATATTGTTTAACTGAATATCTCTGCATCTCACGGCCCAATCAAGCTGACACATAAAATTAACCATCACAGATTTATTTAAATTTTTTAGTTTGTCCTGTATATACATGTTTAATTTCTCAAATTTCTAAAAACAAACAAAAATATCCTGCATTAAGGCAAAACTAAAATAATACTGTTGAAAAATAATAGCATGTTTAAAAAGTAATGTAATTGGGCTTCTAATACATAATATTCTCTACTTATCCACCTTTTTCATCTTTTACTATTTGTTTCCTTTCATCAAATTATGTATTTTTTTTCTATCCTCTTAAAACAAGATGACTGGTAATGCAAAGATAAAGGTACAAAAATATTAATTATAAATGGTTTGAAAAAGGCATTTCAAAAAGATAGTCGTTAACAGTATCGTTAACACATAGAGATTTATAAGATGTAACTCATGTTAAAAAGGCAAGTTTTATTTATGATCTGACTTTTCTAATTGTATTTATGTGAAAAGTTAGTGTTAAAAAAGAGGAAGTATTTCTGGTTTTCAAGAAATATATGTTGAATGATTTAATAGAAGAATATCAGTCTTTCCCTTATGTATTTTACAGCTTAGTGGGCATGGTAAACAATTACATCAAATGTGATGAGTATCATGATAGGGAATGAAATATGTTATCTAAGTCAAGAGCAGGTTCATCCATCCTAATCTAGTGAGTCAGGAAAGGCCTCCCTAAGGAGGAAATTGAAAATGAGATATGGCAAACATTTAGTTAGAGGAAAACACAAAAAGAAGGGAAAGGTGTAAAAAGGTGAGGGAAACAGATGCAAACATCAGGCTTGAAAGCTAGGACAGGCCTTCTGAGACATAAAGACAAAACAAAACAATTGCTATGTATTAAGTGTATGGCAAGAGGGAAAAGAGGCAGAGATGCCTCTGGGATTCAGGGCCAGATTATCCAGGATGTATAAATAAGGTCATAGATTCAAGGAATTACAATAACAATAAAAGTAAAGATTTAAAAAAAATTTACTTTTTTAATAAAAGAGATTTAAAAACAAGCAAGCCACATGGCCAATATAACACTGAAATACGCATGACGCTAACCCTGGTTTTTATGACTTCAGCTTTATAGTTCGTAAATGCTGTGACTTGAAGATTTTTAACCTAGATTCTGATATGACTACATTTGTGATGTGGAAAAATCACCCCTTTGGTATGAAAAATTGCTTGGAGTAGAGCAAGAGTGGAGGCAGCATGATTAGAAGATTGCTCTGGTGGTCCGGAGACGATAAGATGAAGGAAAAGATATGATGTAGCCATAGAGATGAACACAGATGTCTTGAGAAGATATTTCAGAGATGGGAAGGCTACATGTGATAATTATTTTGGTGCTGAGCTTGCAAAGGAGGTGTAAAACATGAAACATCTCTAATTTTGGCTATGTTTAAAAAACAGAATTTAAAGAGTCAAATAATTCAAAGATAAAATGGAGTGCTCAAGAAATAGGTGAGGGCAGGATGTAAATGGGAATTGTAAAGTATATGATGTAAGTCAACACAGCAGGGATAAGCTAGTTAAAACTCCAGTTTAAAATTTACTCTCTTGGTAATTTTGATTATACAGTTTATTATCATTTATTATAATCACCATGCAGGGCAAAAGACCACTGAAGCTTATTACCCCTGAATAAATACAATTTTGCATTCTTTGATCAATATCTCCCACCTCCATCCACATCCTTGTAAACGTTCTTACCATAAAAACCAAAAGATAAGTATGTGAGGTGACGGATTTGTTAATTAGTTTGATTTAATTTATAACATAAGCATATATCAAAATATTATAATATACCCATGATTTTATGATATAAACAATGACTATTTTCAATTAATGTTTAAAAATTTATAATTTCAGAATCGTGTTAGGATTGTAAAATCTTTAAGGTTGTTTTACAATTCATAATTTCTAGGAGTACATGGTCTGTTTTAAATATTCAATCATCAGTCTACTACATTAAGACATTATTTTTACAGATGGGCATTTATCAATGAAAAGAACACTATTTATGAAAAAAATTCTATTTTTTCCTAATACATAGTACATATGGCCAGAGGACAAGCCGTGAGTTTTATATTACTTGAAATTTAAAAGGTACAAAAAATATAACATTTCCTAAACATGAGAACATGGTGGTTGAAAATTTATTCTCCCAGAGTCACACAGAAAATAAGTAATTACAAATCTCTTTCTCTCTCTGATTAGTCTCTCTGAATACAGAGTCTGTGCTTCTACAGTGTTATACGGTAGTTCCCCCTTAATCATGGTTTCACTTTCTGAGATTTCGATTACCTGCAGTAAATAACAACAAGCTATTTTGAGAGAGAAAGATAGACCATTCACATAACTTTTGTTACAGTATATGGTTATAATTGTTCCATTTTATCATTAGTTATTGTTCATCTCTTATTGTGCCTAACTTATTAAATTTTACCATAGGAAGGTACATACAGGAAAAAATATAATATATACAGGGTTCAGTAGTATCCACAGTTTCAGGGATCCACTTACAAAGATACTCTGTACTCAAGGGGAATAAAATCAGTTAAAACTTAAGGTAGCTATTCTAAACTTGCCATTAAAATAATTTCAGAGATTTCTCATATCATATCTTAGAACTTAGTCATTTTAAATGTAATCAACATTAATTAATATTTTACACTCAAGAGGTAGGTTAATGGATTTTTTTAATGCACTAAAGTTTTAAATCTTGGTAACATTTTATTCATAAATATCTTTGTTTTAACAGATACATATTAATTTTCACATTATTTGAAATCTAGTCCCTTATGATGTCTAAATATGACTGTTAAAAATTTTGAGTATAATAAGAACTGAAATATATAACTCCCTCTCCCTCCTACAGTGAAAGTCAAGGTAACCATTAAGATAATCATTGCAGAGCTGTTATATGGACACAAATTGATAGTGCCAAAATTATGTTTTATGTAATGATAATGCATATATTTACAGAACTCTTCTTTTCTACCTCTCTAAAGCTTCACACTGACCAAGATAAAGGAGATGGAAATTTAAAGTACATACTAACAGGAGATGGGGCTGGCAGTCTATTTGTTATAGATGAAAATACAGGAGACATTCATGCTGCAAAGAAACTAGACAGAGAAGAAAAATCTCTGTACATTCTTCGTGCCAAGGCTATAGACAGAAAAACTGGGCGGCAGGTGGAACCGGAATCAGAATTTATCATTAAAATTCATGATATCAATGATAATGAGCCAAAATTTACAAAAGACTTATACACTGCCAGTGTTCCTGAAATGTCTGGAGTCGGTAGGTATACTCTAATCCACGTAAACTACTTTTTATTTGTTTGTTTGCTCAGGTAATCATTAATGACATGTGGTTATGATATGTGGCCTCTTTCAAAATAAGAGTTATAACTGGAAACTACTATTTAGCTTAAACTAACTCTTCTATTTTTATTTCTGTATATCTTAATTCTGCTATGTTGTAATTCATATAAAATATTATTATCGATAGCAGTTAATTCATTTTATTTCAATCAATACCCTCAACTCTACTCAATTGGCATTCAAATGGCAGTCAAGTGGAATGTATATCTATCAAAAATCAAAAGAATACTTGTATCAGTAGTTTTGGACAATTTTGCTTGCATTATTTGAATAACAATTAATGCTCGCAATTGGCATATTTCTGTTGAAATGTTTTCTCATTTGATCTTTAAAGCCAATTTATGTGGTAGGCATGAGAACTAGAACTTTAAATCCCTATTCTGTTAATTAGAAATTCAAGATTCAGAAAGATTAAGCAACTGAATTAAGATCAAATAACTTGGCGGCATCATGACAAGATTACAAGTCTTTTTACGTTATTTTTGTGCACATTCCACTGCTGAACATTGGCTTATGCAAACTGAAAATAATAGTTTCACTTCTTAAGGCTGCCCACCATTTTAGATGCCACTTGTGCGAAGTTTTATCTGTGTATGACTACATTTAACTCTTAATATAAAAGGTTTAGATTTGTTAGTGAGACAATGAGAACTGATTCACATCATAAAAATATTTCTAAAATAACTGATACAAACTTAATTTGTAAGATCTGCAACCAATTTCCCAAATTTGATGCAATTTAATTGAACACTATTTCAAAACCAGTTTTCAGTGTATGATTTTGACATTCTTTTAACTAATATATGTTTCAGTCTAAAATAATTTATATACAAGGAAAAACAAACTTACTCACTTTTACTGAATGTTTAATACAAAATGTTAACTATGTCATTTAGCAGGAAGAACCAAGAGTTTTTTAAAAACTTATTTATTCTCACCTCCAATGAAATCTCATCTAACAAGGAAAAAACAGTTAAATAGAACTGAAATAGCCCTTTCAGGTATTCACTCTAATAAAACAAAAGAATTTATCAAATTAGACAAGAGTCCTGTGAAATCATAAAGCTCTAATACAAAACATGAGTGGATATGTTTCTTGTTATATTTTTCAGGACCTTAGTTGCATGGGAAGTACTAGATTGGTTTGTATAGGACAACCAGTGGGTTAATTTAGACACATATCATGCTTTTTGTTTTGTTTTGTTTTGTTTTTTAATGGATTTATATGTGAGATTAAGGTGCACGTAAAATTATACTCATCAACTTCCTATTGATTATTATTTTAAAGTATTTCTGTTTTTTAGTATCTTTTGAAAAATATTATTGTTTCTCTTGTGTACATATCATTTTACCAGATATGTTGAAACTTTACAATACAAAAGTTTCACTTGTCCTTCCTCAGAAAGATTTCACATACTTAGAAAAGTAAAAGGTATAATAAAGATAATGGAAATATTTGAATATGAGAAACTTTAAGAATAATTGTTTTAAATGTGAATACTCAAAATATTTCAAAGAAATACCCCATTTTTGTGGGAAAAAAGCAAATATTTCCCTATCAGAGACTATTGATATTTAATCTCCCATAACCTGTATTTTCTCCTACATTATTTTCTGATACTTAATGAACTATTATATTTTACTCTGTGTATTGCTGTTTGTCACCTGTGTACATAATTCAAATGTATTTTGTCTCGTTTGAAATAGTAATACATCTAGGTTCTATTAATATTTGTTGAGTAACAATATCAGAACTGAAATAAACACACACACACACACATATATATACACACACATACATATATGTATTTTTTTAAATCCTTCACTGGTTCCATCACTAATAATAAAATATACAATATATAAGTTTATGCGTGAAAGATGCTTTGTAGTTTATATTGTACAAAATCTCTTTCTGTAAGACAATCTATATTTCATTTACGTAAGCTTTAAAGTGTAAGCAGTACAACTTCGGATTAATGTAGGTTGCAAATACAAGGATTTGAGCCATTGTCAGTTGCATTCGCTACATGGCTAGAATTCCCACGAAATGAGACAAATAATATAGTAGCAGGCAGATGTATGGCTAAGGCTGCAGCTTTTGGAACTAAAAAATAAAGATTTAAGAATACAGATAAATTTTAATCTTATTTGTAGAGGACAATTGTTATTCTTCATTACTAATACTAACATTATATTACTTGCTTCCACTTTGGTTCACCTATAACTTTGTATGTACTTCCATTACTTAAATATAAATGTATAATATATTATATATAATATGCATTTGCAGAAAATACTAGACTTGGTTTAATTGCCTATTTTAATAAATAAATAAACATGAGCCCAAAATAATTAAACTGACTTGGTCAACTTACTACTAGCCTAATTTTAAAAAGAAAAAGAAAAGTTAATAGATGCAGAGTGTATTAGTCCATTTTCATGCTGCTGATAAAGTCATATCCGAGACTGGGAAGAAAAAGAGATTTAATGGAATTACAGTTCCACATGGCTGGGGAGGCCTCACAATTGTGGCAGAAGGCAAGGAGGAGCAAATTATGTCTTACATGGACAGCAGCAGGCAGAGAAAGAGAGCTTGTGCGTGGAAACTCCTGTTTTTAAAACCATCAGATGTCTTGAGACTCATTCACTATCCAGAGAAAGATGCAGAAAAGACCCGCCCCCATAATTCAGTCTCCTCCAATCGGGTTCCTCCCATGACACATGGGAATTGTGGGAGTTACAATTCAAGATGATATTTGGGTGAGAACATAGTCAAACCGTATCACAGAGATAGCTGGACAATTTTAATGCCTTACTATTTTTCTCTGTTAAATAGTGATGTTTATTATTCAAAATCTAGTCTGGAAATCTTTTAATTTATTACATTGTGAGTAACTCCTCTAAATTAGTATCTTTGTTATTTATTACTTTAAATCAAATGCCCTTCTCATTCAAATTAAATCTAAATAAGAATATAAGGGGATAAACCCCTTGCATTTTAATACATACATATCTATATATAACTGTATATATATATATATAAAACTATATATAACCACATATATCACTATATATAACCATATAAATATGTCTAAATAAAAAGTAGATGTATTTTACCTCCTAAACTTGTGTTGATCTTTTATTGTAACTCTCCTATCTTATTTAAAGGAGAATGAAAGACTAATTATAATTATTACGGGTGTGATTTCTTTTACTGCTATGTATCCAAATAAACCAATTTACATAGGAAAGCTAACAAGTATATTTAGGAACTCTGCCATGCCTTGTGTATCCCATATATTAACAGTTAAATCTGATGCATAATCAAAGAATTAAGAATACATCTATAAATAAAATAATACACAATGATTTAATTCTCAAATTATTTTCAGATAGTACAAGATATTTTCATTTAAATCAAAGAGTTAAAGACTACAAGTATTAGCTTTGTTAAGAAATAGAGTCTTATGGAATAAGATAAGTTTTATTTATTATTGACCTACCCTTCTTTACAATGCTATTTTCTGGCCGGGCGCGGTGGCTCAAGCCTGTAATTCCAGCACTTTGGGAGGCCGAGACGGGCGGATCACGAGGTCAGGAGATCGAGACCATCCTGGCTAACACGGTGAAACCCCGTCTCTACTAAAAATACAAAAAAAAAAAAAAAAAAAAAAAAAAAAAAAAATAGCCGGGCGACGTGGCGGGCGCCTATAGTCCCAGCTACTTGGGAGGCTGAGGCAGGAGAATGGCGTAAACCCAGGAGGCGGAGCTTGCAGTGAGCTGAGATCCGGCCACTGCACTCCAGCCTGGGTGGCAGAGCGAGACTCCGTCTCAAAAAAAAAAAAAAAAAAAAAAAAAATACGATGCTATTTTCTGGTGATCTCCATTTATCTGTCGCTTATTTTCATTCATTTTTATTTCTTAAATTATTTGTTTCTTCCTCTTCTCTCTCAACAACTATTTCCCTTGTTGTTTCCTTCTGCTTCAATTTCTGTCACAATCATATGCCATATTTCACATTGGATTTTTAGTGCCAAATGCTCAACCCATTTTCAGTTAAATTAAAATGACTCCAATAAACTCATGAAATCTGAAATACATTAGCATTTTCTAATCAGAACACATAATTTGGAAGATATATAAAGATATATATTTAAAGATAATGGGATACATTTCGATTACAACGGTTTGTATTTTCCTTTTCTATTTCTACTTTCTGTATTTTTTTATTTCTTGTGATCATTATACTATTGATTAAATATTTTCTATCAACTTGCTTCATGTGCATGCTTTCGTCTTCACCTAGGCAAATTCTTGTTGTGTAAATTTGGTGATTTGGGATGCATCCTTTCTCAATGACTGGAAATTTCCCTTACTTTCACTCTCAAAAACCTATCTAGTCCTTCTCCTAACACCTTGACCCCCAACCAGGAATCGTTTTGTAATTTTTTTACAGACAACAAAAATAACTCAGGCAATGAATTCTTCATGTCCCAGAGGTTCACTGCGTGTGGATTCAATAATGTATCCAATTATATTTGTAACACCAGAGAGAGGCCATTTGGTAAAGCATTTATAAGGAAATTTCTTGACCAAATATATCTAGAACGGACTTAGACCTAGTCCAACACTATCACACACTGGGTTTGTGGTCTTTAGCAACTTCTATGTGCCCAAGGCCCACATCCCAAATGTATCATGAAGATAAAGTAATAAAAATCAATCAGGTGCTGAGAACTATGCCTAGTCTACATTAAGCATTCTGTGAAAGTTAGTTCTTATGATTTTGCACTAGATTCTCTGCTGGGTTTTAAATATAAAACGTTGAACAAATTAGATACGGACTCTGCCCTTAAAGAGTTTGCATTTCACAGGAAAATAAACTTGTATGTAACAAAGCATGATTTGAATTCATGGACATCTAATTAATGGACCCCTTATAATTCCACGACACTGTCTGAAAACATCACCCCCACTTCTCTTATTAGTGGCCCCCACAGCACAAACATTTATGTCAGGGGCACTGTTTACCTCTGGTCCTCAAGTTAATGGCTGTCATTGCCCTATGGCAGAAGCAAACAGTTGACTCTATCCAAACCAGATTCATAGAGAGGTGTGAAGAATAAACTCCTTTTTCACTTTCTGTAACTTTCATTACCTTATTCTCACATTGAGCCAAGTCAAAATATTCCAGTCTGTTTTCTACAGTGCTCAAAAGGTAGGCCTTAGGCTACCTATGTTTTGGGGTCACGGGGTCAATTACATTTGCGATTTCAAATATTTCAAACACTAGATTCAAAACATTTTCATATTTGCATATAAGGCACAAATATATAGAGGGATTTTTTCTTTTGTATATGAAGTTTATTTTGTATAGTGTAATAAACTGAATTGATTTAACTTCCTCTAATACGTATAAATATATACGTAAGACCAACTGGCATAGCTTGGTCACATTGTGTAATCTAAACTTGTCTTATCTTTAAATAATAATAATACTAATATTGATGAATTTTTCTTCCATATCCAGAGGAATGCTTTTGGTTCCCCAAAATCTTTAGCCACCAAGTTATTTATTTATCGGCTTTTAACATTTCTTCACGATTTACAAAATGTCTTTGGAATTTTTCCTAAAGATTATTAATTATATAGTTAAGTAAATAATGAATTAAGAATTACAGTAAACTTCTTTGATTCCTTAAGATAGTTTCTATTTAAGATATATGCAAAACTCTTATAAAAATGTGAATTGCAAAAATAATGATCTCAAAATCATGTTCATCTCTTTTATATGAGATGCAATATATAAATTTGTCATTCAAATTTCACTATATTTTACTTAGTATATTTTTATCTTTAATATGAAAATAAAATATTTATTTTAAATAACTAAAGAACAAATAAAATTTATACATATTTTGGAAAATTTAGAGGGATGTAAATTTCCATGTGTATTCTCTTTTATTTTTTCTTTATAAACAAACATTTATAAAATTAACATAAAACATATAAACCATTTTCTATTTAATTTTATTACTAAATACTTTTAACTGTGTAAAGAGTCATTACACTTCTGAAAAAACTATAACTGTGTATTCCCTATAATCCAACACATTGTCTCTCAGTTTGCTAAAAAACAACATATCAATGATATTTTATCAGTGACTACCAGTGTTTAAAAGCATTCTTAAGTATTACCAGAGCTCTGACAGGTGGAACAAGTATTTTACATGTGTGCTTTCAGCTTTTTGGCCACATCATAGAATTTATTTCTGTTGTTTATATTAACTTATTTATCTTTGTCATGCATCTTGGCGTAACTTCAAAGATCATCTATCCATTAACAGAGCTAATAATCAAAACTAAAATTCCACAAAAATATTATTTGAAAGAGTCAAATAAATATAGAAGATTGTTTTTACCTGTACCCATTAAGAAAGCTTACAGTAATGCTCACGTTAAAAGAAAAATAAAAGGGGTAATTCAAGAAACGTCCTAAAATTGATGAACGAACTACTTGTACTTTCAGCATATTGGTAATGCTTAATAATTCATATTTCAATAACCTCCAATTGTGAAAACCACATTTATTCTAATATATATCATATAGGGTTATATAAAAAGGACATTACATGCAAATTTTTAAAAAAAAACACTGTTGAATTTCTGCACATCATAAAGTAATTTGTGTGGGGGGAATAAAATCACTTTATCATTTTTGCTTTCATCTAATAAACACATGGGTGGATAATTTTTTAATGATAAAAGCTTACAACTGGGATGGATTAAGTAAATATGTAATGTTTCCATTCACTCACAGGACACATCAATTCCATTACAGTTGAGAAAACAGGGGCCTCAAGAGAATGAGCTCAAGTTGTCATCGTTATGCTAATTAATTCTGATAAAACATTAAAAAGTCTTGCTCAATTCATGTGTTAACATTCAAATATATTGACAGGAAATGAGCTGTCAATATTGATCTTAATTACTATATATTAATTTTTGGAATCGGCATACACATATACACACAACATTTGAGAAACATCCACCGTAATTCAATTAGACAAGTTACTGAGTGTGTAATGTATGTGGGCTATTAAATTAGGTGGTAGAGCCAATGTGGAACCTTCCTGTTTTCAAAAACTTTAAAATGTGTGTAAGAGTCAGACTCAAACTTTTAGAAATTATGTAAAATATACTGAAAAATGTCCTACAATGTAGCTTTGTCCAAGGGCACACCTAGTAGGCTTCAGTTAAGGGTGATGTTAGAAGCATGCTTTGAATCTTTATAGAAATTCAGGAAAAAATAATTTGAAAAATTCATCAGTATATTTTATTATGTTGATCCCTGCTTTTAAAGCACTTCTATGTTTTGAAAGACTTGAAACAAAATTTAACATAATTTAAATTTAATGATATGAAATTAGATAGTAAGCTTAAATTGCAGTATCGATTGTGACACAGAATTACACACCATACAGCTTCTTTTGGAGAATAATGATTTACAAATGTGCATCAAATAACCAGTATTATGCAGCATATCAATAAGGGTAATCATAAGCAACCATAGTATATATATTTAAAAGAGAGGCATAGTCCCTTCATAATTAGATATATCTTGGGAACAAAAAATATCTTGCAAGTCAATTTTACAGCATTTTGGTTTGTTTCTTCATAGAAATTGTCTCTTTATTTTTTATTTTATTTACCATTCACAGTCAAATATATCAGAGTAAAAAGCAGTAGCAGGTTAAAAAATGTTGGATTCGTCTTTTAAATACATGTTTCCAGTTAGCAGCAAATGTATTAAATTACAAATTTCATGTGTGTTATATTCATTTTAAGAATGTTTGCCCTAAAACATTTCCAATCAATTAAAAATGCAATGTATTAACTAATCTCATTATATTCACCTTACTGATAAATATATTTTGATACTTTTCTTAGACAAAAAAATAAGAAATACTCAAGTTTATAGAAAATGAGAAAGAAAAGTAACTTTTTGGGGATGTATCTAAATAAATTTCTTCAAACATACCACATTGTCTAATACAAAACACTGACAGCAACATATTTTTAAGAAAGATTATTTCAAATTTGGAAGTATGTAAATGTGTCTGTTTGGGGATGGGGTTTCATGTAGGTACATCTGTTATACAAGTAACTGCAACAGATGCAGATGACGCCAACTATGGAAATAGTGCCAAAGTGGTCTATAGCATATTGCAAGGACAGCCATATTTTTCAGTGGACCCAGAATCAGGTACAACATTTAAACTTGGTCGACTTCTTATTGTACAATACGTTAAGATGCATAATTAATTTAGAGATTTTAAAAATATTTTTAAATCATTATTCATTCAGTTTCATGTTTCTATTTGTTTCCTCTCATTATTGAATGTGAAAAAATGCAAACTTTCTATTATTTTAATAACTTATTTGAACCCTTAGCTCTTTAAACTATTATTCATTGGGTTTAAATCTGAAACACTAAATACAAAATTTCACAGAGATTCAGCACATTATGTGGCATAGAGAATACTTACACCTTGGATGTGACAATTATCAAAATTAGACAACTGTATTTGTCTAAAGATTTTTGACTGAAGTTAATTTTTGTAATCAAAAAAATAAATACATTGATTTAGCAAAACCCATTTCATGAACAATAGCCCATGGCAAAATCCTTCCTGTTCTGTGAATTATGTTAAAGTAGTTACGGATTGAAAGACATATTTAAATACATTGACATTTTATGTTTGTTATAATCAACTTCTGTAAAATGAATCTTGTCTAGCTTAATTTAAAAACTAAACTTTTGTCTGCTTTTTCCAAAAGGCATAATAAAAACTGCATTACCAGACATGAGCAGAGAAAATAGAGAGCAGTACCAGGTTGTTATACAGGCCAAAGACATGGGTGGCCAGATGGGAGGCCTTTCTGGAACCACCACAGTGAACATCACACTGACAGATGTCAACAACAACCCTCCTCGATTTCCTCAGAGTAAGGAATGTTTCAGTGATCTCATGTCCGAAAACTTCTCAAACACACTAGTAGCCGAGTTTAATATTCATGCTTCATGCTAGTAGTTTTGCTATTGGTTGATGCATAAAGGAAAAACCACAATCCATTCCTCTACAAAAAGAAAAAAAAATCACAATTTCCCACAAATAGAGAGTGATGGTGATTATTTTCATCATTTTTGGGGGTATGTAGTGTGAGAGAACAAAGGATTAAGCTTCTCTGGCAAGTTTTTGTTGTTGTTGTTGTTGTTTTGTTTTTTGTTTTTTTTTTTGAGACAGAGTCTCACTCTGTCGCCCAGGCTGGAGTGCAGTGGTGTGATCTCGGCTCACTGCAACCTCTGACTCCTGGGTTCAAGCAATTCTCCTGCCTCAGCCTCTTGAGTAGCTGGGATTACCAGTGAGCGCCACCACACCTGGCTAATTTTTGTATTTTTAGTAGAGACGGAGTTTCACCATGTTGGCCAGGCTGGTCTGGAATGCCTGACCTTGTGATCCGCCCGCCTCAGCCTCCCAAAGTGCTGTGATTACAGGCTTGAGCCACCGTGCTCGGCCTCTCTGGCAACTTTTTAATTAACTTTTCTAATTTTGAAGCATTATAAAGTTTTCCAGACTTCCTTTCTCAACATTCACTAAGATTGTCTTAACATTTTCCTTTGGATCCTCCTCCTGATTAGGAGTGTGGACTCTCTTGTCTGGCTATCTGGATTCAAATCCTGCGTCTCTCACTTGTCTTACCTCAGCTACCCTGTTGGCATGTAAAACTGAAAATCTCTTATCTAATTGATCGTGAAACACAGACTTTTTGATATTGTAAAAATATCAGCGCAGATTGGCTTATTTAGCATTACTTTTATATTTTCCTAGTGGCCCATAGAGTTATGGTTTACCACATTTGTGAGGGCATTTTAGACATATTCAAGTTTGGTAGTATCTCTGCTACCAAGTTATGAAGATTACATCAGTTAACACTCTTTCAGTTGTCACCATTTTAGGATGGACATTAAACCATGGATGCTTTTCATTTCATGACGTCCTGTGGAAAAAGATTTCCATTCTCCACTGAAATTTGTTATTTTGCAGAGAATAAATATATAAAGAGTCCTATTTTGAAATATTCAATTAAAAGCTGAAACTTAAATTCATATCACTAATCTCAAAACAGTAAAACAGTTTTCCAGGCCAATTATATTGAAAATGTTTTATCGAGCTTTGATTGGTGGACATATTCATATGATATATGTAAAACTATAAAGTTTGCTGAGAACATAAATAATAAGCCTAAATAACATAAACCTAAACTTTGCATTCATATTCCTTTATAAAGAGTGACACTCGATGCATTTTTAATTTGACATTCTGTAATTCTGCTATCTATAATAATGTTAACAAAACTCTGGAACTACAATAGTTAAGGACTACACCCAGAGCTAAATTTATGTCATCCCTAAAACAAACCTATGAGTGAATTACTATCATTATCATCCTTGTTTCTTAGATGCAGACATCAAAGTTTAGAGAATTTAACTAACTGGCCAGGTGGTCAGAATTCAGACCCAGGCAATTGGATTTATATACTCATATTCTTAATCACCAAATCAATTGTAAAGAATACAGACTTTGAAGTCAGAAAGAATTAGTTTTTGCATTCTCCCTTTCCCAAGTCTGCAGGATAATTTCCTTAAGGCCTGCCCCTGAAGATGATACAGCTAAATTGGTCCTTTGAGAACTAGTGTGAGGATTAAATAAATTAGCATATAAGCCCTTTGACCTTGTATAGACTGCAGCACATTGTAAATGTTTAAAAATATTTCTGACCTTCATTAACATTAAAGTTTTTTTTGTTTTGTTTTGTTTTGTTTTTTTTTTTTCTATTGTGTCTTGAATAGGTAGCCAGAAACTAAAATGCTTTTAGGGACACCAGAATATAATATAATATTTGCGTGAACCTACAAAAAGTAGAAAAATCCATGCCCCACTAAAATATATTAAAACTAAAACAAACAGGCAAAAAAAAAAAAAAAAAAAAGGAAATATTGGTCTGTATGGCATTATTTTTTATTCCTGAATAAAATAATAAATGGATTTTTAAAATGTAACTGAATATATGTAAAAAAGTGTGATGACTGTTTTGAAAGCCCCAGATGAGCAGTAAATAATTGTTTTTCATGTTCTTATAAGTCAAAACTACTGGATTCTTATATCAGGCCTACCATCTATAGTCTAAATAACCTTGGGACATTCTGTAATTTTTTTTCTGGGACTTACACTTCTCATTTACAAAATGAGAGTGTTGTGTTTTAAAAATCATTTTTCCAAATTAATAAATATATAATTTTGACAGCTTACAATTCAATATGATAAAAACTCTCCCTATTTAAAATTAATGTATTTAAGTTAAAAATGCAGAGGAAATGAAAGAAGGTTGTTGTCTAAAGATGAAATGTCAAAGCAGCTCTCACTTAATTTATAGGTACGTATCAATTTAATTCCCCTGAGTGTGTACCTCTTGGAACTCATCTTGGAAGGATAAAAGCCAATGACCCTGACGTGGGGGAAAATGCAGAGATGGAGTATAGAATTGCTGAAGGAGATGGCGCAGATATGTTCGATGTCATCACTGACAAGGATACACAGGAAGGGATTATAACTGTCAAACAGGTTTCCTTTCACTGTCTTCGTTTTTTCATTGAGTGCTTTATAATTCATTTTTGCTTTTCAGTAAAGGGGGAAAAAGCCTGGGATTTATTTTCTCCCATCTTTTACATGCTGTCTATCCTTCAGATAAATGGGAATAGTTGTGATATCACTTCAAACAAGTTAAATGTCTTCATAATTGACACTTAAAACCTCAGTTGCTTATGCTTACACTAGAAAACAGTCAAATTAAAATTAGATAAACTTCAAGGTACTTGTTTGTATTTCTCCATAGAGGAAAAAATAAACATGCAGCCATCATTATTTCATGTACTTTTCAAAATATCTTCATTGTTAAGTGTGATGATCTATTTAAATAAATATAACCTGAAGATGCTCTGTGTTTTCCATTGGTTGCCATGATTTTCAATGCAGTGTGGGAGAACATTCTGAATCTTTACATCTAATAATACAGCTCAATAGTATCATTTCGTATTGCCCTTATTTCACTTTTTATGCATATCTTACCTTCAACAAGCTCTCCAATAATTGAAATAGAAATAAGTTTTATTCTATACTTCTATTTTATATTTTTCTTCTGATTGTTACTATATAACTTTAATAATGATAACACATATTGTATAAATCCATTAGATAATACTTCATTTACATGTCACCAAAAAAAATGAAGCATATTACTGAGAATCAAAATCAATGTGTATGCCATTATATTAAGTTAACCCTCTGTGAAGTGTATGGCAAAACACATATTTATAAATTTATTGCGTATACCTATGAAGCAACCATTGAGAAAGTCATTTAAACAGAATTGTTCGTATAATCGCTGGCTATTAAACTTTGAAATCGTCTTCCGTTGTCATATCTTCTGAATTACGCTAATTTCTTTTATTTTATTTAACTTCAGAATTTAGATTTTGAAAATCAAATGCTCTACACTTTAAGAGTGGATGCAAGTAACACTCACCCTGATCCACGATTCTTGCACCTGGGACCTTTCAAAGACACAGCTGTGGTCAAAATATCTGTGGAAGATATAGATGAACCTCCTGTGTTCAGTAAAGTCTCTTACTTGATAGAAGTAGATGAAGATGTAAAGGAGGGCAGTATCATTGGACAGGTTACAGCGTACGACCCAGATGCCAGGAACAATTTAATAAAGTAAGTACTTTGAAAACATTTATTATGTTTTTAGAAATATAATAATCTCACTATTTACAAACTGTGTGAAAAAATGGTTGCACAATGTATAATCAAGCACAGTAATAACACTGAACACTTCCAGACCACAGATTCTTAGCTTGGCTCTCTTTTAAATGCTCTGGGTACAAGGTAGATAGTATTGTAAATAGTACAAGGTACTATTTACTATTGTACTAAGGTACTATTTACATAGTACTATGTACTATTTACTATTGTAAATAGTACAAGGTACAAGGTAGATAGTATTTTTTGGAGATGATAAAACTGAGGCTCCAAGTACTTAAGTAACTTGCCCATTGTTTATTAGCAAAGCTGAGTGTAAGAACCAAGCAGTTTAATGCCAGAGTCAATGATTTTAATACCTTTATCCTTACTGTAGTCCTTGTCTCATTATCCCTCTTGGTTAAATAAAAGTTGACATAAATAATGAACTAAATAAATAAATTAGAAAAAAAGTTTTCCTATAAATTATGATTTTCTTTTGAAAATTGTTACTAAGGCCTAACACATATCAAATCTTTTGAAGAATATCATGTCAATTATATTCTCATAACATTATCTCAGAAGAGATAATGACATTTAAGTCAATAAGAAAGGTAAAGGTATTAATTTGTATAGTATATCTTTCCAAATTTTGAGTAGTTTTCACCATTTTAAGGGCTTTAAATATGTCAGAAACATAAATGAATCTCATATATTGTTCAAAGGGGAATTTAAATGTAGTTGGGGCATATATAGATTAATGCATGGGATGGATAATGATAGGTGGATATGTGGAGGAACATATAGACAGCTGAAGAGATAGACAATACATTAATCTGTTAAATATGCAGCTAATAAATTATCTAAAATTCTACTTTGCTTAAAATTTAGTTAGGGAAAATAAATGGTTAAATTCATTTCATGTTGTCCTTTACACATAGCAAATTAATAATCACAATACTAAATATATAACCATTTAATTTTCATTTTAGGACTATCCAAATATGTTAATTTACAAAGCAAATTGCTGCACTAAATATATTTTAATGATGATTTAATTTGTTGGTGAGATTAAGAACATGTTAACCTTTGTAATTAAGAAACACTCCATAAAATCCAATGTGTAGTTAATGCCTAGAGCTTACATTAGCTTGAAAATTAGGGTTAGTTTTAGGTTTATTACTGTATAATTCACTGAGCATCTGTTTTTAAAAAATAAATTATCAGTGTCAAATTATGTATTTGTTATATTGTTTAACATCATTTTGAAACACACCTTCTTGTTATTATTGGGGATTATTTTAGTCTGGCAGGATTTTTACCATAATACATAAAATGCTTAGTTTAAAATGTTCATATTGCTTAAAGTAAAACTCTTGAAATAAAATGAAAAATTAATCTAGCTGTCCAATGATCAATGTATATGCACTAGCATGTTCATATCCAAAGCAATGTATATTTGTGTTTTATTGAAATGGTATATGAGTGCTTGTTGGTGTCTTTTGTTTGAGGGTTTATTAGAAAAGAGTGTAAATTGTTTTTTCATTTTCTGCAGTAATGAAATGGAAATAAGTATTTATCTATTTTTTTAAAGGACAAGGGGTTAGTCATATCAGTAGCTATAAATGCTCAATAAGTGTCTGTGTTTTATAGTTTTTGTCATGTTTCAAAAAAATCATCAACGTTGTTTGTGTCTCTATTTCTCCCTAGTGTCTGTTGCACCATATGTCTATGCTAGAAATCCTACATTCATTTTAGAAGTAATCGATTGTAACTTTTTTCAGTGCAATCACACATTGTCAGAAAACTGTAAACAATGACATTATATCAACTTAGATGATGAGCCATATTATTGCTGGACAATTGAACATTTTTGAGTCTGAATGAGACCAAATCTTCATAATAATCCACATTATCTTTTCTTCATTCATCTAGCATATTTGCTTATTAGGAGTTCAGTAAATGCTGGGCACCTTGCAAGAGGCATGATGCCCCCTCTACGTCACCAAGGCTGTTTATTTTATAAAATAGATTAGCCACTTAGTCACTTTTGCATTATGCTTATAAAAGATACTCTTCTATAGTTTTGTTTTTCTATAATGTTTTGGTCTAAATTTGGGATAATGAAAGTACTGCTTCATAGAATACAGTAGGATATATAATATGCTCTTTAATTTTCTGAAAGAGTTTGCATGGAATTAGAATGTTTTCTTAATGTTTGGTAGGATTTAATATTTGGGGCTGTAATTTTGTTTTTTATATGAGTTGTACCTATGTATTTTATTTCTCTAGTAGTTTCAGAATTATTCTGGTTATCTAATTATTCAATGAGTTTTGTTTTTAATTTTTTATCTCTCAGGGAATTTGTAAATCTCATCTAAGTTGTCAAATGTATTAACATAAAGTTGTTCAAAATATTTTCACATTATCCTTTTGATATCTGTAGTGATGAAAGCTATCTTTAATATCGTTAACTTTTCTCTGCTTTATCCTGATCAGTGTGACAAAACTTTTTTGAAATGTATTCATTTTCTCAAAAAAATGTAACTTCTGGTTTTATATTGTTTTACTTATTTTTTTCTTTTTTAAAAAAATTATACATTAAGTTATGTGATACATGTGTTTAACCGGCAGGTTTGTTACATAGATATACATGTGCTAGGGTGGGTTGCTGCACCCATCAATCCCTCCCCTAGGTCCCCCAACCCCCGACAGGCCCTGGTATGTGATGTTCCCCTCCTTGTGTCCATGTGTTCTCATTGTTCAATTCCCATTTATGAGTGAGAACATGTGGTGTTTGGTTTTCTGTTCCTGTGTTAATTTGTTGAGAATGATGGTTTCCAGCTTCATCCATGTCCCTACAAAGGACAGTAACTCATTATTTTTATGGCTGTATAGTATTTCATGGTGTATATCCAGTCTATCATTGATGGACATTTGGGTTGGTTCCAAGTCTTGTTATTGTGAATAGTGGTACAATAAACATACATATGTATGTGTCTTTATAGTAGAATGATTTATAATCTTTTGGGTGTATACCCAGTAGTGGGATTGCTGGGTCAAATGGTATTTCTGGTTCTAGATCCTTGAGGAATTGCCACACTGTCTTCCACAATGGTTGAACTAATTTACGTTCCTACCAAAAGTGTAAAAGTATTCCTATTTCTCCACATACTATCCAGCATCTGTTGCTTCCTCACTTTTTAATGATTGCCATTCTAACTGGTGTGAGATGGTGTCTCATTGTGGTTTTGATTTGCATTTCTCTAATCACCAGTGATAATGAGCTTTTTTTCATACGTTTGTTGACCACATAAATGTCTTCTTTTGAGAAGTGTCTGTTCATATCCTTCACTCACCTTTTCATAAGATTGTTCATTTTTTTCTTGTAAATGTGTTTAAGTTTTGGTAGATTCTGGATATTTACCCTTTGTCAGATAGATAGATTGCAAAAATTTTCTCCCATTCTGTGGTTTGCCTGATCACTCTGATGGTAGTTTCTTTTCCTGTGCAGAATCTCTTTAGTTTAATTAGATCCCATTTATCAATTTTGTCTTTTGTTGTTATTGCTTTTGGTGTTTTAGTCATGAAGTCTTTGCATACGCCTATGTCCTGAATGGTATTGCCTAGGTTTTCTTCTAGGGTTTTTATGGTTTTAGTTCTTACGTTTAGGTCTTTAATCCATCTTGAGTGAATTTTTGTATAAGGTGTAAGGAAAGGATCTGGATTCAGTTTTCCGCATACGGCTAGCCAGTTTTCCCAACACCATTTATTAAATAGGGACTCCTTTCCGCCTTTCTTGTTTTTATCAGGTTTGTCAAAGATCTGATGTCTGTAGATGTGTGGCATTATTGCTGAGGGCTCTGTTCTGTTCCATTGGTCTATATATCTGTTTTGGTGTCAGTACCATGCTGTTTTGGTTACTGAAGCCTTGTAGTATAGTTTGAAGTCAGGTAGCGTGATACCTCCAGCTTTGTTATTTTTGTTTAGGATTGTCTTTGCTATAAGGGCTCTTTTTTGGTTCCATATGAAATTTAAACTTGTTTTTTCTAATTCTGTGAGGAAGGTCAATGGTAGCTTGATGGGGATAGCATTGAATCTATCAATTACTTTGAGCAGTATGGCCATATTCACGATACTGATTCTTCCTATCCATGAGCATGGAACGTTTTTCCATTTGTTTGTGTCCTCCCTTATTTCCTTGAGCAGTGATTTGTAGTTTTCCTTGAAGAGGTCCTTCACATCCCTTGTAAGCTGTATTCCTAGGTATTTTATTCTCTTTGTAGTAATTGTGAATGGGAGTTCACTCATGATTTGGCTCTCTGTTTGTCTGTTATTGTTGTATAGGAATGCTTGTGATTTTTGCACATTGATTTTGTATCCTCAGACTTTGCTGAAATTGCTTATCAGGTTAAGAAGTTTTGAGGCTGAGATGATGGGGTTTTCTAAATATACAATCATATCATCTGCAAACAGACACAATTTGACTTCCTCTCTTCCTATTTGAATACGCTTTATTCCTTTCTCTTGGCTAATTGCCCTGGCTAGAACTTCCAATACTATGTTGAATGGATAGGAGTAGTGAGAGAGGACATCCTTGTCTTGCACTGGTTTTCAAAGGGAATGGTTCTAGCTTTTGCCCATTTGGTATGATATTGGCTGTGGATCTGTCATAAATAGCTCTTTTTATTTTGAGATACGTTCCATCCATACCTAGTTTATTGAAAGCCTATAGCATGAAGGGGTGTTGAATTTTATTGAAGACCTTTTCTGCATCTGTTGAGATAATTGTGTGGCTTTTGTCTTTGGTTCTGTTTATGTGATGGCTTACTTTATTGATTGGTACTTATTGAGCCAGCCTTGCATCCCAGGGATGAAGCCAACTTGATCGTGATCGATAAGCTTTTTGATGTGCTGCTGCATTGAGTTTGCCAGTATATTATTGAGGATTTTCACATCAATGTTTATCAGAGTTA